TATAATGACCAGGCTCAGGCCCCAAAAGAAGAGAGTGGAGAAGAGACTTTCTCCCACCTTCTTTGCTGAGATGGAAGATTATTGGGAGTGGAATATTATATATGATGTGAGACTTTTTCCATGTGTTGATTAATTTTGCTGATACTTTTTCATTCTCTGTTATAAGGGATGAAGGAAGAGGAGGGAAAGGAATTGTGAAATGTAGGTAATGTAAAAACAAAAGATATCAAGAAAAATTTATATTTAAAATCCATAATGAAAAGTAATTTCACAGTTAGACCACAAGGCCCAATGGGCTAAGCTAACTGCTGAAATGGAGATTGGGAGGGAGGTAGAGGGGAAAGAGAGAAAGAATAAGAGAAGATAAGAAAGCAGGAGGGGGGAGTAGAAGAAAGAATAGAAGAGGAAAATTAGGATGAAGAAGAGAGGAGATAGGGAGAAAAGAGAATTAAGTTCTTTGAAAAGATTTTGAAAAGGATTTTGGAAAAGGATTCATCAAAATGGAGGAGTGAAAAATGGAGCCCTGCAATTTTAAAACAGAAAGGAAAAATCCTAAAATGGCCAAAGTCAGCACTTTAGTCCCACCAGAGGAAAATGGAAATACCATCCCTCCTGTGCCCTTTGAATGAAGCTGGCATGCTTCTGAGAAGCCACTGCCTCAGATTCCACTTCTGAGATTCTTGAGGTATACACTGAATTTTCTCTATTTGTTACTGCCCATCAAGACCCAGTTCGCCAGAAGGGTAGAGATAAACAAATGTGGTGGCTACTTAATTATGTTTATTGAGTACTTAAGTTAGATTATTTTCATTTCTTTTTCTACTCAAATGGTTTTTTGAACAATAAAACTCCACACTGCCCTCCTACCCCGCCTCCAAGAACATGCCTGGAAGAAAAAAGGAAAAGGAAAAGAAAAGGAAAGAAAGAAATAAGGAACCCTTAGGTTCAATCACATATTCTTTAGGCAAGATAATAACAGCAACAACTCAGTTATTGATCATGTAAAGATTTACAAAGCACCATCCCCATCAACAGCCCTGAGTCAGTTAGCACTATTTCTACCATGACTAAGAAGTCATCAATCAATCAATAAGCATTTATTAAGCACTTATTATGTGCCAGGGCTGTTGCTAGGAGCAGAGGATCCAGAGACAAAAAAACAAAACCATTACCTACCTTTAAGGAACTTATGGGGAGAAAATATGTACACATATAAATCTAATATTCAGGAACTGCAGCTGGGCCTGATGGGGTAATGGGACCTGGACCCCTAAATGTTCTAGAATCAGGAAACTGTCCTGACCAGATTCAATTCTGGTGGATCTGGTATCTAATAAGGGTTAGGTTCTCTTTTTTTTTTTAAGATGTACTCTACTCCTATAATGCAAATTATTCTTTTCTTTTTTTCCCCAATTTTATTAATTTATTGATTTATTAACAATCACTTCCATATGCTTTTGAGTTGAAAATTTTTCTCCCCCTTCCTCCCCCCCACTTTCCCCAAGACAGCGCACAATCTGATATAGGTTTTACATTCACAATCTTATGAAACATATTTTCATATTAGTGAAGTTGTAAGTAAAAATTAAAACCAATAGGAACCATCAGAAAGATGAAACAAAACTCAACAGAAGGTAAAAATAAGTGATAGCAATTCGACTTCCATAGTTCTTTCTTTGGATGTGGACAGTATTTTCCATCCCGAGGCTTCTGGAGACGTTTTAGATCCTTGTAATGCTGAGAAGGGTTTAGTTTAACAATATTAGTGGTCACATAACGTGGCTGTTATTTAGGTTCTCTTTTCTCCCACTCTTTGACTCCTTAAACCCCAACCCTCAAAGAAAAACTTGTTTAAAAGTTAATTTTTGGCTTATGTTTAGAAGTAAAGTAGTACTCAGTGTATAATAATGTTATCATCGACCTCCAGGACCGGCAGGATTGGGGATTTAGGTCCCAGGATCTGGGACAAGCTGCCACTGCCCACTGCTTCCCCAGGTGCAAGCCAGCCGAGAGTCGAAATAACAGGATGCAGCTCTTTTAGAGTAAAGGAAGAAATTCCTTTATTCAGGTCTCAAGAGAATTGGGTGCACTCCTTCCCAAGAAGGAAACACACTGAGCACAGAAGTGAGAGCAAGCTTTGTACTGTTAGTCTGGACCCCTTACCCCTCCCTCCAAGATTGGTCCGAGTTACAATCAAAAGTTTCACAATTGGTTAGGTTCACAATTCCATATTGTAATTAAAGAAACCTCATTCTGAGTTACAATTGGTGGAAATCCTGATCCTTTAGTTAGCATATGCATGAGGTTCACTGAGACTGAGTAGTAGCAGATTCTTGCGCTGGACATTGACCCCCAACCAGCTTGGACTGGTTTGGGCCTTTGGCTGCAAAAACAGGAACCCTGCTGTTAAGCTTAGTTTAACTGGCCAGAGAAATGTCACTCTCCCCTTAATTAGTTAGCCATTAGCACCTTTCCTGATTTTTTGCAACTTATGTGGGAACCTAATAATTCAGCATTTCTCACAATAGGAATCAGGTATGGGATAGGTATTTATTTTCTACACTTAGAACAAATACTAAAAGACAAGCCACAAGTCCCTACCCTTTGTGGGAAGCCACTTGAAACAATTCTGATAGGATCCAGAAGCCAGAAAGGAAAGAGAGCACTGAAAGTAGGATCATACCTTTTTAAATACCCACCGGTATTTGCTGTTCTTGTTCAGTGGCCAATAAGGAAAGTCCCTTCAGTGCCAAGTCCGCTCAGCTCTAAATGGCATCCGTGTAGCCAGCTGGAAGTAGAAAAGACAGTTTTGCAATACCCACACATGCCTAGAGTCAGGAAGATCTAAGTTCAAATCCAACCTCAAACACTTACTAGCTGCTTGATCCTGGGCAAGTCACTTAATGTCCGTCTGCTCAGTTTGCTCATCTGTAAAATGGGAATAATAATAATAGCACCTACCTTCCAGGATTGTTGTGAAGATCACATGAAATAATAATTGTAAAATGCTTAGCACAGTACCTGATACATAGTAAGCACCGTATAAAAGTTAGTTATTATTATTATTATTATTAGGTAGCCCTGGTTACATACCCAAATTTAAAAAGTATACAAGTTTCACAGGGATGATCAGAGGGACTCCACTGCTGAATTCCTTAAAGAGAGCTATTTTTAAAGAAGAGGTCCCTTAATCACCTTCATAATGTTAAAAGTTGGCTAAGGGACAGCCAGTTAGCTGAGTCCTCTCAACTCTAGATTAAATTATAATATGTTAAGGGAAGGTAACAGTTAATGAAAATATAAGAATTCATCTCTCTCAGACTTTGAAGTGGCACATTTTTACTTCTAAAGGGTCCTTTTCAGACTTTGATTGGCTACTCTAAGGGAAGAGAAATGTAGTCTTTTAGGAGGTTCGAAATTCCTTAGTCAACGGGATGGAATTATATGGTGGCTAGTCCCTGGTTGGCTAAAGTAACAAATTTAAGAAATGCTAAAAAAAAAAAAATTCTACAAGACACAAAAGATTCCTAGCACACATTGATAAGACTTAAGCAATCAGTACCTTGTAGTTTTTTGGGTTTGGTTTTTTTTTAATGGAAAGCTAATAATTTATTTAAATACATTTCCTTTATCATTTGTTTTTAAATTTTAAACTAAATTTCGTTTCCATTGGATAGAGAAAGTAAAATAAATGGTTTCTTCTATTCAAACAAACCATATCTACTAAATGAATGACAATGGGGCCTTGGCAATCTAAAGGCAATGGAATGATGTCAAATAAACAACAGAGATACTTTCAGGTAGTAATAATGTTAGAAATATCTGTAACAAAAATCTGCTACAGAAGTGAGTGAAGGAAAGCCTTTATTACGCTTCTTGAGAGAAGTGGGCACACCGTACCCTAGTAGTATGTGCACGCTGGGCAGTGGTAGAAGCGACTTTTAAATGGACCCATATTCCATTCACCTGAGCCCAGGATTGGACCAGCTCACCTGAGTTACAGTCTTCCTGAACCACCCATCCCATGTTCCTCTTTGTCATGTTAGTTCATGCGTCCCATGTCCAAAAATGGCAGCTATCTCTGCCCTCAGAGTGTGTCAGTTAATATTCAATAAGCTTATGAAGCAAGCGCAGTGGAGAAAAGCCTTTGCCCTATGGAGGCCCTGTCCTTGACCCTAGGGTTGCAACCCATTTAGCCTCCAGGGCCCTTTCTTCAGGAACTACTTGTTTGCAGAATGTTTGGGGCACTTTCTGATTGGTTGAGGGACTATCTGCAAGAACTTGGAAGTCCTCCTCAGAATTCCCTTGTTGTGGAAGCCTGACTTCTAATCCTTTCTCACAATTCTTCCCTTTTCTTTTTTAGTAAAGATTTGGCTTCCACACATTCCCAGTTTCCTTATCCTCTAATCTCTTTAACATGATTTCCCATTCTCCATCACTGGGTGAAGTCTCATTGAGTACATTGTAGTTTTTAACTACTAGTATACTCTACTAGGAGGTTGGGTTATAAACATCAGAACACGAAGCCCTTTGCAGGGGTGCTGGTTAGGCATTTACACCTTGGCTCTGTACTGTTCATGTCTTCCGACAAGTCAGGGAGGGGTTGAACTCCTTCCCCTGTCCCCGGTGATGTCTTCTCTGATGCAGGAACATATCCCATACCCCAGTTCCATCAGTGGTCAGCTCCAATCAAAGGAACCTAGGACCTCTGGACCTCTTAAACCCATAAGGTTGTTTGCACGCCTGAACATATCCATCTACTGATAGGTACTATGTGCCAAGCACTGTGCCTGGCACATAGTAGGAAGTTAACAAATGTTTGTTGATTTGACTTATTCAATCAAAAGAGGCAGCCCCAAAGCCAGGCTCAGGCTCGCCTAGGCAGGACATGTGCTTTACATATGAGCTCTGAGAAAGGAGTCACTTTCAGCAGTTAAAAAGAAAGCCAGCCACTGAGGAAGAAATGAGCTTCTGAGGTCACTTCTCTTCATCTTTTCAAGGGATTCCAGCTGCAGAATCAAGTTGGAAAAGAAGACCAGAACAGTGTTGTAGGCCAGGATTTCAGTGGATCCAGAGTCTGGAGTCAATAGTAGAGGGAGCAATTGGAGGCTATCAGCAGCCCTGCAGCATGGGAAACGTAAGTTGCTGTTTATCACATGTGCTTTGTCCTCATGCCTTCCCTATCCTTGCACATGCTTCTCTTACTTGTGAGTTCTGGAGGCATCCATTCTTCCCACTAATGAGAGGTTTGGGGGAAGATGTGTTGTTATTATTGTCCTTACTGTGTGATCTCAGTCAAAGTCTTTCCTTTGAAGTAATAGTGTGAACTGGCTGACTATTGAAAGTGAGAAGAATGAAAAGCCTTGAGAGACGGTTTCTGGATAACTAATAATCAATTTATTAACTAGGCTAGCAAATGATCAATAAATTGGTGATCTCAGTTTCTCTCAGTAAACAAAGACAAAAGACCGTGGAGATCATCACGTGCTTAAATACCTTTGGAAAAGTGGGTGTCCCTGACAGGCAGAGATCAACCCAGATTGGTGAACAATCAAGGAAGGGGTGGATGATGAGGTGGGCTGAAAGTCTTCAGCTCCTTCCTCCTGAGGACTTGACTTGATGAGAGTCTATTGCCACCGGCTATCTGTACAAAGGACAACTTACGTTGAACCGTGGGCAAGAATTCTAGAATAGATTCCCTTTACCACTTAATCAGAGATAAGCTCTTGGGCATCCACCCAAGATTGAGTTTGCTTGCTGTTTGCGCCTCCCTCTTGAAGAAGACTATGGTATCAGAAAGGTGATTCTGTGACATGCAAGTGAATTGGATTTAAGTGAGGGAGAGCTGTGCAAAGTTACCAGCTTCACTTTCACCTCAGGAGCCATCTGGATCTATTGACTAGATATCAATCAGTACAACTCCCAAGAAAGTGGAGAAAGTTCTTGGAGGGTTAGGCCAATCTCCTCAGCCCAGTCCTTCAGAGACTGATTGACCTAGAAGGATGTAGAGTCCTGATTGGTGAAAGCCATAACAAGGACACAGTGACCAGCATACAACCTTGAGTGCCTAGACATTTACCCGACAGTGCTGGTCTGACACCTGGATGTCTGGAAACTGGACTCAGTACTGAGTATAAACTAAATATTAGTCAAAACATTAGCTAAACCTTGATGACATGTGTAATGATGTTCTATCTCTCCTCTTCCCTTTGTTTGATTTCTATAATTACCACAGGGCTTTTTTGGGGGGTCTTTTTGGGAATCCAACATTTTGTCTGGCTGCTGCTCCAGATTGCCCCTGTGTGTGTGCGTGTGTGTGTGTCTAAGTATCCACATGATTATTAAACTTCATACATGGGGCATTGAGGTGGCCCAGTGGATACAGCACTGACCCTGAAGTCAGGAGTACCTGAGTTCAAATCGGCCTCAGACCAAACACTTGACACTTACTAGCTATGTGACCCTGGGCAAGTCACTTAACCCCAATTGCCAAAAAACAAAACAAAACAAAAACTTCATATATAATCATTCTGGAGCTCCCATCTTCTTTCTTCAGTATTAAATTCACCTCACTGTTTTGGAGAAGTACAGAGTTTCCTAGCCAGGAGGATTCTAGACATTACAAAGGACTAGCCTTTAAATAAAGAAGTAAAAAGAAAGAAAAACTTTGGACCCTGATATTAATAATTGGTTATTAATAGAAAAATAATAATTTCCCTCAAAAGTAAACTCATTGGTGGGGACTTTCAAGCTACGTTTTTATGAGTGTTGACGCATAGACTATACTGAATCCTGGGTAATCTCCAGAGAATCCAACCTGTGAGTGGGAATGGGCAGTTGCTCAGAAGAGGCTACGTTGAAAAAAACAGAGTAAGCTGGAGATGTAGAAATAAGTAGCTAGAGAGTCAGGAACGGCTTATGTAGGTGGCACGTGAGCTGAGCTTTGAAATAAGCAAGGGATTCTTGAGGGCAGAAGTGAGGGAGGAATGCATTCTAGGAATCAGGTGCAGCCTCTGCAAAGGCACACAGATGAGACGTAGAATTTTTTTTGTTGTTGTTTTTAAGGGAACAGTAAGAAAGCCAAGTTGGTAGGAATGAAGTGTAGGTTAAATATGCAATAATCCTGAAAAAGTAGGCTAAAGCCAGATTGTAAAGGACTTTTAAATGCCAAACTGAGATTATATCATATCCATTAAGTAGGATTAACCCTTTAAAGAGAGACATTTTAAAAGAAAAGGATTCTGTTAAGACATGTAGAAAAAATAACAGTATCTGTCCTGAATCTGGAGATTACCCAAGATTCAGTATAGTCTATGAGTCAACGCTCAGAAAAGTATAAGAAAGAAGGGAAAGGATACAATGTGTATACAAATATGCAAAATTAAATAAATTAAGGAAGGAGAGAACACAGTAAAGAAATAGGGGGATGAAGAAAGACTCCTTTAAAAGCTGACACCTGTGAACAGCTATGAAGGAAGAAAAATTTAAGAGTGTGCCTCATTTACTCTTCAACAAAGTCAAGAATTATAAAGAGCTGACATTGAAAGGGTAAAAAGAAAAGGTACAAAGGAAACATTTCACCACTTAGGAAAAGTATGAGACATGAATAGATCATTTGCCTAGGAAAAAGCCGGTAAGATAATGAACTTGCTCCATCATGGACTGCTTTATCACCTTCGTCTCTATCATAAAACCCAAAAGGACTCTGGGAAATGTAACTGAGCAGAGCACCATAACTAAACTAAACCAGGAAGGACTGTTGAATGGGAGAAGCTAGACCCCTCCCACCTCCTGCCTGGAGGTAACAAACGTCAGAGGTCCAGTACTGAGGACACCAAAGAGGAAAGGCTTCTGCTAAACCTAGGCTAAAGGTCAGTGCCGGGATTGAAAGAGCACTGTAGCCCTCCAACTGAAGAGGGTACAGTACTACCCACCAAAGCAAGTGAGTGAAGGTAGTTAAAGACTACCCATAGAAGTCTAAGTCCAGGGACTCTACGTGTATTTGTGAGAGTTAGGGACAGTTAGGTGGCACAGTGGATAGAGCACAGTCTTGGGGTCAGAAGGATCTAAGTTCAAATATGACCTTAGATACTAGCTGTGTGATGCCGATCAAGTCACTTAACCCTGATTGCCTCAAAAAAAAAAAGAGTGAGCTAGTCCCAGGGCATAATAATAATAGCTAACATTTATTTCTATAGCACTTATTTTGTGCCAGGCACATACTAAGTGCTTTACAATTATTATTTCATTTGAATCTCACAATAACTCTGGGAGATGGTGCTATTATGATTCCCATTTTACAAGTAAGAAAACTGAGGCAAAGATGTTAAGTAACTTTTCCAGGGTCACATAGCTAAGAAGCATCTGTGGCCAGATTTGAACTCAAGTCTATCCTGATACCCTACCTACTGTACCACCATTACTGTTCTGGTTAATTCACTTGAGTAAATGCCTTTTCTAAGAATTGCGTCTGTTTATGACTGTCAAGGGTGGACTTGTAAGCTGTAGTGCTAGGAGGCTAGCTACAGAGTTATCCTTAGAACCCTGAGAGTACCGGCAGCCACCCTCTGTTGACCTAATTTGCCAGTACCAGTGAGTGCTGAAAGAGTAAAGCCAGAGAGTGTTATATAAGGATTCAGAGGAGCAGAGTTAAAACCAGATTGTATTCCAGGCAGAGACATTACTAGGAATTTTAATGAAATTCAGCTGGGGGAGAGAGGGAATGGTGCGGTTGGTTCTGGGGGCAGGCAATAGTAAAAGGCTTGATTCCAGAGAGAAAATTAAAATAGGAAGAACAGTTAGACTAACAAACAAAGAGTACACGTATAAATAGAGCAGAGCCATACTGGAGGATAAAAAGTTCAGAGGGGAGAATACTAAAGACTTGGAAAAGAAATCTAACATTATTGTTATCCAGAAAAAGACAACTGAGAAACTATCATGCAATATATGCCTAATTTTCTATCATTACAGAATCTTCATAGGACTAATCTACATATGTATATTCAGGGTATCCTAGAAAAGTTTTGAGAAGGGAACAGATGGGTTTTCACAAATTATATTATATAGCAGAACACATCTTTACAATCACATATAATTGAGTGAAAGGTACAGAAAATAACAGGCCCTACTGTGTGCTGAATATTAAAAAATTAGATTAAATAGAGCAAAATGCCTCCTTAAAGGCACTCTTCCCAATAAGGTGTCTCCTATGAATGTAAAAGTTAGGGAGAACTTTGATGGTTAAAGCTCTGGGTCTGGAGTCAAGAAAACTTGAGTTCAAATCTAGCCTTAGACACTTACTAGCAGTGGGACCCTGGACAAAGTCATTTAACTACTATCTGCCTCAGTTTCCTCATCAATAAAATGGGTATCACAATAGCACTTATTTCCTAGCATTGTTGTGAGGATCAGATGAAACAATATTTGTGAAGCACTGAGTATAGGGCCTGGCACTTAATAGGTGCTTAACAAATGCTAGTGCCCTTCCTCTTATCATTTTATATCATATTATAAAGCTGTAATCATCAAAACTATTTAGTACTGGGTTAAAAAAAATTTTAAAACTAGACCAGTAGAACAGCCTAGATAAGCAAGAATAAAAACCAGACATTAGTCCAGCATTCAACAAACCCAAGGATATAAACTAGTAGAGCTTGGGGAAAAAAACCCAAAAAACTGGAATGGAGTTTCACATAAAATAAGTTTAGATCAGCATCTTATGCCTTTTCCCAAAAATAAATTCCAACAGGATATATCACCTATTATTAAAGGTTACATCATAAAAAAACTAGAGGAAAATTCAAGGAGGTTCCTTCACAACTATGGCTATAAATAGAATTATTAGTCAAGCAAGAGACAGAGGTAATCATAAAAGATAAAATAAACTATCACAATGACATAAAATTTAAAGGTTTTACCCAAACAAAATAAGCTATGCAACCATGAGAAGGGAAACTATGGGAAAGGGGAAAGCAGAGAGAGTCTTTGCGTCAAATATCTATGATATACATCTGATATCAATCCAAGATATTTTGGGAATTATCAGTCAATCAACATTTATTAAGGGCCCATTAAAACAGTACCAGGCACTGTGCTAAGCTATCAAAACTATTGATTTAAGAGCCATTCC